GCTCCTCCTGACGAGTAAACAGAATTTGATGTGTATAATCGGTAAAAGGCCACTTTAGGTACAGTACTAAAGAAAAAAGGTATAAAAAATGTATGAGTGGCTTGTTTGGATTTAGTTACACAGAGATTTTAGACAAGTAGTCTGAAAACTCAGATGCCACAGAAAATAGCAAAAATGTCATGTCATAGATAAACTGTATGGCACCAGACTCAATAAAGATTTTCTTTATTAAGTACTTTGATTAAAGTGTTTATGTGACACACAACTAATGAAAGTCTAAAGTGACCTGAGACACTGAGTACATCAATCAACACAATTCCTATGAGACGGTCTGATGTATTCAGTCCATACACAAGAGATTAACATGTTTTTGATAAATGGCTGATGTAACTCCCATCTATTGTGATGCAGAGTAAACATGATGATTAAGCCTCAGGGTCATTAGTCCAGTGTATCTCTGTATTCCCAGGACGTCAGTCTATTGTTGTTGTTATGCTCAGCGGTCTCCATGCAGGACAGACTGCACTGTAACTGTGTGCAAATTCCCTCTACACTAATGTTAGATTATGGATGACATATGCCCAGAAAAACAGATATTTTCCATTGGAGTTGATGATTTAGCATTACATATCTAGTATGTAGAGTTATTTTCCAATCACCAAACATTTGGATAAAAATGGCAGGCATTTAAAAAGGCCCTGGGGTTTGTTCACCAAAAGTCAGAAATACTTGAAGTATTAAAAACGAAAAGAGAGTAAAAGAGAGTAAAAAGTATGCAAGTAAGATGGGTATGTTAATTCTTTGCATAAAACCGGTTTTTAGTGTGAATGGCAGGCTGTAGCTGTAGCTTAGAAAGTCTCACGGAAGGGTTGAACATTTAGGAGGGTGTATTGGCAGAAATGGAACATAATATTCATAGGTATGTTTTCATTAGTGTATAATGACCTGAAATTAAGTACTGTTGTGTTTTCTTAACCTTAGACTATTCACTTGCTGTCTAATATATCCCACCTCCTGAAAGGAGCCATGATGATAATGAGATAATCAGTGTTATTTACTTCACCTGTCAGTGGTCATAATGTCATGGCTGATCAGTGTATATAGAGTGTTTTCTAGTCTTCTGACCTGCTTTACACTACTGTCCCATTCAGACATACTCACAGCATCGGGACCAATTTGGGGTTCAATATCTTGCCCAAGGACACTTTGACATGCAAATGGAGGAACAGAGGAGTGAACTACCAACCTTCTGATTAGTGGACAACCCGCTCTACCTCCGCAGCTATCATAGTAAGTGTAAAACACAGGCGATTTACCGAAGGCAAATAAATATGTTTAAAAGCACTTAATGACTTCCTTCCTCCTTGCAAGATTGCCAGTACTCATTTTACTGGTGATCCTTATATATATGTTTAGGGATCACAGATTCTCAATAAACCAATGGAAGCTCCAGTACTTTATGGTTTTGATCATCTCTTTATGCCCTGCGATGGCTTTAACTGTGCCATTCATAAAAACACGTGAGAACCTCTAACAGGTGACACCATTCTCTAGCCTGACCTACGTAACTTTAAACTTCCTTTGAATATTACACTTCCCTTAAGCACAGAGACCGAATGGCCCAGCATTATAACCCACATTGTAGCCTGCTCAGGCTGACCTACACTTTGAGCTGCACCCACTGGCTAGAGTTTATTTGAATGCCAGTTCTCTAGCTGCCCACGATTTAATCGAACTCCTCACAAAATAACCACAAGATCCTCATTTATAAAACCTTTTATGCACACCCATGTCTTGACCTTTTTACAGGAACAATAAAGTGTCTAGTGGCTGGTGGGCACATTGTTTTGATTAATTCAAAGATGGAAAGAAAGCTGTGTACTGGCTTGTAATTAATTGGATTAATGTGACATATTCATTTTCTTTCTGCTTTCTGGCTTGATGATTATAATCTGAATAAAAATGTATTCCTCGCTGAAGTATGAGCCTTTTTTATTATTTTTTTTCATCTGGAAGCTGTAGGTAACTATGTCATATGCTGTAATACTGTGGGTCTTTCTCTAATGCTGAACTAAATTACTAAACCAATTACGTATTCAGGATAAACTCCTTGAGATTCATAACATGTCATTTTTTGAGACAGCACATTTGTTCCTGTACCTTCTCAGTCATCAAAATAACAGTATACTACTTTAAAAAAAAAAAAAAAATTCAAATTTAAGGGAGGGAGTAACTAAACTCTGGAGCTTAACTTCTGGCAGCTGATTGGACTGTCACGATGCTCAACAAAGAATAAAAGCAGTTACATGTTTGTCACACCAGTGGAGGATTATTTTAATGGCTGTGTTTCATCTTTTTTACTGTAATACTGCTCTTAATATACTAACTGAGGAAAACATAATTAAGGGCAAGAGGGATACAACTGTTTGACAAATAGGTAAACAATGATCAATGCAACCATTTTAAGTGAATTTTCCTTAACAGGATTAAATGGCACAACAACAAAGGAAAGAGTCATTCTTTTCTCTTTCAGCTTGTTGTGTTACAGTGTGATTTTGCTTGTCAATGGTGCTCTTATTGTTACTATCATACTGGAGGAAAAGCTACATGAACCCATGTACATATTCCTCTGTAATCTGTGCATTAATAGTATTTTTGGGACAACAGGCTTTTACCCAAAATTCTTTTTTGACCTATTGTCTAACACTCATGTCATATCGTATACTGGTTGTCTGTTGCAGGTTTTTGTTATATACTCCTATGTAGCAACTGATTTTTCTATTTTAACCCTGATGGCGTATGACCGATATGTGGCTATATGTCGACCGCTGGAGTATCACTCTGTTATGACTAAACATAGGATTGTATTATTGGTGTGTTTCTCCAGACTTGTACCTTTCCTCTGTCAGGGTATTGTGGTGATAATGACCTCTAAACTGGAATTATGTGGCTCCCACATAGGAAAACTTTATTGTGAGAACTGGTCAATCCTTAAACTTTCCTGCAGTTCAATAACAACAAATAGTATTGTTGGATTTATGGTCATACTTTTCTATTGCGGGCATGACCTTTTCATTATGTGTTCATATGTGCCGTTGATAAAATCAGCTTTAAAGTCGAGAGAGGGTAGGAGGAAGTTTATTCAGACCTGTGTGCCACATTTCTTATGTTTGCTTAACGTCACAGTCGCTTTGCTGTTTGACCTCATGTACGCTAGATATGGATCCAGCTCTATATCACAGAGTGTAAAGAACTTCATGGCCATACAGTTTCTCGTAATTCCACCTGTTCTCAACCCTATAATTTATGGACTTAAACTGACGCAAGTACGCAACAGTTTTCTAAGTTTGTGTACAGACAACAAACGTTGGTTAAAAAATTAGGCTGATACATCGTGAAATTGCGTGACCTTTCTTTCAAAGCATGGGCGTATATCCAACTACATGAACCCTCTGTTCTGTGTCTGCTTTCAGAATTTTTCACATAATAGTTCTTTAAACATTTCATGATATCATTTGCAAATCAAAAACACTACACTATTAGTGTCAAATGACGCTGATTCCACATGTATGAGAGTATTAATACATTTGTTAGTTACATTTTAAGTTTTTCTTATTCAGTTTTCTCTGTTTCAGAGACATGTTGATTAAACTTGGTCATTCTGTAGGCCGTATTCTGTGGTGCTGTTATTGTGTTTATTTGTGTTAATGTGTTTCTAGTAATGAAACAAGTTTAACTGCTTTAATAGTAGCCATTCTATACAGAAATGTGTTTTAAATCCTTTTTAAACAAATAAACAAAAGATACAAACCATTATACAACAAAATATGGAGCTAACATTCCTGATAATACTGATTTAAACTCATCTGCTGATTTTGTGTTTCCTAGACTGTTACATTGTCAGCCGATTATGTTAATATGTTATATTGTTTTATTAATTCGAAAACTTGTAATCTTTAGTTACATAATTTGATGCTGCTGTAGGTTGCATGACTTAAAGCAATTTATCTGACGTCTTGCAGCTCCCTCTGAAGCCACAAAAGGTTTTATCCAACTTTTTCACATATGCAGCACTCCCCATCATATAGAGTTATAAAGTTAATATGCCGATCATGTTTTCAAACAGTTTCTCATATACAACTGGAAAACATAACATCACAAAAAACAAACATAAAAAAACAACAATAACAAATAACAAAAGTCCAATATTCACTCGCCTTTAAGCTTCGATCAGTTTTCACAAATTCCAGAGAAAATATCTGGTTCTTTAGCTACTGAAGCTTTTCTGTGTGCTATGTTATGCTGAGTAAGAGCTGTACGTGCTGTTAAAAATAGCAAAAAATATACAGTTGTGGGCCATAAAACCAAAACAGTGAGCAGGAAGATGATTTACTTTAAGTATGAGGGGGATGGCAGAGTTGGTGATCATTTTCTGTTGTTGATACACAAGACACCTTTTACAAATTGAGTTATCTGACCCAAAAGCTTTGAAACATTAATTATATTTATATGACAGACGTTTAGCAGCAAATATAGGTAGGGGAAATGGGAAGGAAATTAGTAAAATATGTAAATGCTTTGCAATAGTTTCTATAACTATATAAGTTTCTTGTAACTATATACCAACCTTTTTGGTGTTAAGGCCGCTATCTGATAAGAGTCTCAGGGATCCTTATATGGTAAGATTTAGTTATTCCATATCTGCCTATACTTTAGATTGTTAGATTAACAGCAAATTGTACAGACAATTAAAAGAATTGTCATTATTTTACACTCACAAGTTCTTGTTAATGAAATAATATGAAATAAAAATATTCCTCTTTTTTTCTGGTGACTGCCTAGGCCCTAAGGCTCTGTTCCATTTATTTTTAGCAGAACTTTTCTAGTGAGAAAACATGCACCAAAGCAGCATCCTGACTCTGTTTGACCTAAATGGATTCAAACTTTAATTACAACTAGAATATTTGCATTCGCTGATGAAAGTGTCATTACTGCATCTGCTGCTGCCACCGCTACCGCAGGCACAGCTTCTGAAAGAGTGCCAGCAAGAAGTGTTTGTGATTCACATCTGAAGATACAGTCGTAACTGTTGTTCAACAAGGTACTCGGTCCAAAAGAGATACGCGGTCCAAACACAACATACACAGGTAAGAACAAAAACACACATCTTAGGGTTAAAATTACTGAGACTTAAAGGTGGGAAATACAAATTGGTATCTTAATCGACCCCTTCTGACCTGTATACAGCACTGACCTCTGACCTGTATACAGCACTGACTTCTGACCTGTATACAGAACCGAGAACCGACCTCTGACATGTATACAGAACACCCTGGGCGAGACCCCTTTCGAACAAAAAAAACACAAAATTCTGCACAAACTGTTATGTTTTATTATAACAACATAAGTGAAGCAGAGAATTATATTTCTCGATTGCACAAATCCTTCATCAGAACAATTG